TATTAAACTCTTTCCCATATGTTTCGGGTTCTTGATATTTTGAGAATTCTATTAAATAGGATTACATTAACATGAAAATCTATAATTTTTTTACTCTTCTTTTCATTGTCCATAAAATACTGATCTCAGGGAGCTGTTTCATACTTATCTTTGTGCACTTTTCAGGAAACAGAACACTTTATTACAAGTGCTGGACATGCATTTCTGTCTAAACAGAAGTCTGCCCCTACCTAACCACTGAGTTCTAGAAGCTGCTCAGGGGTTGTGATCCTCATGTGAAGCCATCTTGCTGTGTATAACTAATGCATTGTCAATTGAAGCAGGACAATAATCCCTGACTCCAAAGACTAGTCTAATTAACCAACTATAGAGTAATTTCTCATTTGGCCAAGGAGACTGAGAGCCTAACAATCTCAAAGTCTCCCAGGAGAAGCAGAGGATCCAAGTTTGTGGAAATGTAGTCTCTCTGATAAAGAAAGAAAATGAAGTGCTGACTTTAGAGGTCTTTTGTCTCCAGGGTTGATACCTGCAATACTAAAAAAGACCCCCAAGAACCAAAGAAACCAAGTTCTCCTTTTCCAATATATTATTAGTCTAGCTCTTTGTGTCCAAATCCTTCCAGCTTTCACTAAGCTCTTAAAATGTCTGAAATTGAGATTCAGCATGTCTCCAATTAATGCTTTGTTTGACTAAAGCGATGGTTCTTACAATTTCTGATGTTGGCCCTTGCACCTAAAGATAAGTAAATCAACTGTTCACACAGCTGCAAAGACAGCTTTGTTCAGTGATGTGACAAGGTTGTGTGCTAACCCCTGAGTTCACTGGGACAAGGGCTTATCAGTGAATGCTAGTACATGACATAGTTCATTCCAGGAGACATGACTGTTCTAAATAAAGAACTGGGAAATCTTTTGCAGATGGTGTGCATGAAAACACTAAAGGAGCAGCCCTACTGCTTTTGATTAATGTGTTATGGCTGCCAGCCACATGGGTGTGAGATAGAGATGAGAAGTGATCCCTGCAATGAGGTTGGGTTTTCTGGTGCCTTGTTAAAATTAATTCTGTTCCAGTTTTTAGAGACTGTTACCAGCTCTTACACTGGATGCTGTATTATCCTCCTTGTTTAATTTATGTTCTTCTTTACAGAGTGTTGGTTTATGAAGGGAAACAAGTCATGGTGGATTCTGGACCAATCTATGATACAACTTTTGCTGGTGGACGATTAGGTCTTTTTGTCTTCTCTCAAGAGATGGTCTATTTCTCTGACCTCAAATATGAATGCAGAGGTTAGTTACAAAAAAATGTTTGGAAGATGCTTAAGCCTTTCATAACTTGTGGAACAAGCACAAAGTGTCTAAATGTAAAGTATCCTCTAAATGAAAAGCAATCTGTAGTATCATAGCATGGCATAAACCTTTGGTGAAATGCTTGCCCCTAGAATAATCTCAATTTGAATAATAAACCCCAGATGTTTAATACTATCCACCTGGAAAAAATAAGGTAGAAATTTCTGAGAGAGACTTGCTTAGAATTCTCTCTGTATATCCACTGTCCTCTGTAGGCTATTTCAGTATGTCCTCCTGTTTGTAGAAAAATGAAGAACAGAAGGTGTTGTGCTACATCTCCTAAGTGTATCATGGTGGAGTTCTTGTTTGATTGACTTCCTAAACAAAAAAAACCCAATCACAATTAATATACTTTTCCCTTTTCTTTCAGATGCTTGAGCAGTGGTTGCTGCATTACCAGCAAAGTACTGTAGATGCTATGCAACCCAGACACCTCAGTGCACCCTGGCACTCCCAGTTTCTATTTTTGTGTACCTCCTGTCCTATTTCCTCATGCTCCACTCTCCAGGATCCTCCCAGCTGCCAGGAGTGTTTCAGCCACCCTTCCACCCAAGTGCCTTCTCACAGCCAGGACTAACGAAACCTAAACGTGAACGTCGGACCCACCACTGAAGCAAAAGCAGATTGATACGTTAGAACATTTTTGTAGAGTGAAAACTTAGCAAAATGTGTTTGTTTACTTGTCTTTTTTAAAGAATGACGTTTACATATAAAAAAATGTAATTACTTAATGTATTTATATATATGGAGAAAAAGAGGGGGGATGATGATTATCAGTTGTTATGTTTAAGTGAGGAAAAATATCTCTTAATTTTTTTGGGTGTACGGTTGACACTTCCTAGCTCTGATCAAGACTGGACTTGTAACACAGAGCTTCTGGGTCTAATTTTAGCAAAGTAATGGAGGGTCACACCAACAGTAAAAATTACTTTGGATATTAAAGATCAGTTATAAACATTTCTTGATTCAAAAAGGTGCTTAGTTGTTAAGGATGCTCTTAGTAATACTCTTTAAAATTATTACTGGTAGAACTGTCAAATTTGCAACCTAAAACATTCTTTAGTAGGGGCTTTATTTAGGCCAAACAGAATTGAACTAGAAACTCTCATGTGAAAGGGAAGAGTGATTTATTTAAACATCTGAAGCTATCACTATTGTCTGACTTTCAAAAAATTATGTCCAGTTGCCGTGTTTTCATCATATTCTGCATTGCCTTGTAATAAAGAATATACCATGACTATGTGGAGCAAAATGAACCTGAACCACTTTTCCACCTCTGCTGCAAAAAGCACTTTGACATCCTGAAACCTGATGTGGGTTTTTGAAAAGGCGGCAATGCTTGCCATTACTTAATTTGGTAACATATGAATTTAAGGTTCCATTTATAAATATTTTGTTAGTATTTATTGTGATTATAATGCCAAGCTACCTTCTCTGATAATTGATTTTAAAGCATATAATCCATCAATACACAAATAATAATAATCCATCAATAAATTCACAAATAATGGTATTTTAAACCAATTTTTGAAAGCAGATCACAATATGTAGATATTGTCAAAGCATGGCCTACACTTAAGTATAGTTCCATGGGTTATAGTCATGTATACTTTAAAATTAAATGAATAATAATAAGGAATTTACAAATGGAACCTTAATATATATATCCAGTTACCCTTATTTTAATATTTTTGTATTGTTACCTATGTCTGCTGTATATAGAACTTCTTAAATAATGCTGAAGGGGTA